AAATCGGTAAAATAACGACACCAGGAGCAAACAACACACGTATGGAATAAGGTAAGCCATTTTTATTTAATATTTTCACTTTTAACTATCTCTATGGATATCTTGTAGAAAATCCCATACAAATCCTTATAAATCGATATGCAAACTGTGTTCCTTGTGTGGTTCTCAAAGAGAGCTTGGGCCGCCTGTGCCCACACGTACGCTTGAAATTCGATCTTTAAAATATGTTAGTTATTACCGTTAATGCACTTTACATCCCAGAGTCACACAACTTCAATAAACGCTGGTTCAGTCACAAAACGCGACCAACGTCAAACTCTCTTCGCTTGTGAAAACTAGTTAAAAAGAACTTAGCTTACACAATAAAATTCCAGCACTTTCTAAATTGTCTAATTATAGAAAGACATTATATGTAAAATACTAAAATTCACGAACTATGAACTCTCGCGAAGCTTCAAGAGGGTCATGCAAGTCACGCAATACAATTTTTCGTAATAATATGGATCAACTGCTTATCAAACCTTCCTTCACTCTTGATCAGCTGTTTTGGCACAGTTACAAGAAATGAAATCTTGAACTTGGCGAATAAGGTGAAGAAACTCAGGCAACTCGGCACAGATCATATCTGGTTCCCAGTCTTCTTCGCTGAGAAGCTGATCCCATTTTTCACAGTGAAGGTGAATATCCGTCTAAAAGAATGAATGATTAAAAAAGAAATCAGGAATTTTATATCCTTAAAAAGAATCATCGAACCAACTCATTTAATGACTTGGCTATTAAAGATGATAAAAATTAACGCCGAATAATAGGATATTAAAAAAACATTCGCGTTAATTTGGTGATGAGCAAATTTTCCTACACCTTCCCTGACCCAGCAGCAGTCAACTGGTAACAAATAAGGGTTACTGTGGGTTAAGGGAGGGGCGGGTGCGCACTTACTCAGATCTGGCAATGATCCAGTTTCATACTACAAACGATTAAATCAACGATTTCTAAGCCTGATAGGTGGTTCAAGAAAATAGGAGCAAATGATGTTATCGTTTTAGTAAAAAATCAACTGGTCGTTCAAAACGTAACAACATTACAGACTCATGTTTGTATTTCATTTTGCTTGCAACCGTACATTGTTAGGACACCCGCTGTACTCAGAGTCTATCATGGAATACATAGCGAGGAACACAACCCATCATATTAAAGCATTTATGATAAAACACTAGATTTAAAACAATAATAGTCACATACTATGACTGAGTTGTCAACAAAACTTTTCCTACCGTTACTCTGTTCTCCTCATCCATGAGATTACTACACCAGGATCTTTCATTAGAGACAATCATGGAAAATCCAGGCCGGGGATTGAACATAGTACGTTGAGAACATCTCCAATGACGTAAGTTAAATCCCTGGGGTAATCTCTCGTCTGCTGGAAGGCGTAACCCATCGGCATCGGTAAATGTTGACTTAGAAAGATATTTTGATACGAGGTGAGTCGCTTCTTTCTCGCGCACAAGGCTATTGTCATGGACTAAATCATCTGAGAAAAAAAAAAACCAGGTTGAATATTAGTAACTTTGTTACTAATATTCTAATATTAACATTTCAACTTTGTTGATATATCCAAATTATTTCGTTACTCCCACCGACGCAGCCCCAAACAGTTTCCTTCGAAACTATCAGCCTTTATTCATGAATATTAGTAAATATGTTAGTTTGGACTGATTTACTAACTTACCCACTCACCTATTACTCACTTACTTTGACACCTTTGCTTGAGCTTAAAAAATGAAAATTTGCTAATAGTCAAAGAAATTGAAGTAAATTTAGGTCAATTTTAAGCAATGAATTGATCATCTTGCCTGACCAAAATTTATCCAATTATTTGGCTCTTGCAAACGAAACTGGACAGTTGACCCAATAAATCGACCAAAATATGGACGTAGGTATAATTTCATACTTCTATAAAATCGCAATAAGAGAAGGAGACTTAGGTTATAATATGTTTTCCAGTACTGCACTCACTCAGCTATCCACTTTACTCTCTCTTCCTCGTTCGCTCAGTCAGTCAGTGAATCAGTCAGTCAGTCACTCGCATACTCGGTTATGTTTATAACTAATACATATATACATAGATACATGTTAATTGACCACTCCCCATGGGGGCTTTTCAGGGACAATTCCCAGCAACCACCCCAGGGGAAGACATCCATCACACAGTAATCTCGTGCATGGGAAATTAACGTCTCCTACCCCAACCCTGCAGGAGACGGGACCTCCATTTATTCGTCCCTATCCGAGAAGACTAGAGTATCTAACCATCTCTTAATATAGAAAGGTAGCCTATTTTTCTCACTTGTTTTAAGACCTTGAGTGTTGGTCCGGCCGGGGCTCGAAGCCTCGACCTCCCGCACAACAGTCCAGCGCTTTATCCATTGAGCTGACTGGGAGGCGGTATATGACACACATAGACGACTGGAGGTATAAGACCTTTCGCGACTCACCCGTAAGGGCACGCAAGTTTATCCTGCAATCGATGTCTGAACCAGGAAACATGATGTTAATCCGGAGAAAATTTTTTGATTCTAAAACCAGCCACCCTCGACACCTCGCCCTAGTAGGCTCATCTTCAAACCTCAATTCTTCAACAACATTTTTCAGGTCATGAAAAGGAATTGGCATTTCTTCAAGTTTTTTTCCCACATCTTGATTTGCTACCCACACCTAATAAAGAAAAAAATTGATTGCAAAACCTTTGCGTCAAAACGTTGTTATGCAAAAAGGCCAAATTAATAATATAGAAAATAAGCCAAATATGAGTAATTGAGAGAATTTAAACTTTTATAATACATCTAAGATATTGTAGATTTCCACCATATTAAAAAGTAGCCAGTCAGTGACTGCATGTCACTACTGGTATAGCACGATGTTTGCAGCATTGGAAAGAACTCGAGGTTTTTATAGGGATGCTACAACGATAAGTGGCACTGGAAACATCGGGTGAAAATTGGGTCAAGATGTGAATTCTATTGTCACACTCACTCACTTACTCATCTATACAAAATTGTGGCTTCGCCTCACCTAGGAGGCAGTAGCCACAAAAAATGGTGAATGAGAAAATTTTAAATCAATGCAAATAAGCGTTATCAGTTTTGAAAGCGTATGATTCCGAACTGTTGAGAACCTGAGAAGGAAATTAACATGCCGAGTAATACCCATTTCGCTTGCCTGTCGTTATTTTCTTGTGACCTTGCTCTTGTAAATAGATTTATATGCGCGTACTATGGCCATGCATTCATTAAGAAAAGCCACAGTGTATTATGGGTACAGTTAACCACTTGTACGCGAATGTGTATATGCTTTCGAAGTAGAAACTGATTCATTTTATTTAAAAATTGAAAGAGAAGTTCTTGCCTTGCATCGGATCGCTTGGCCATTCGGGGCCAAAATATTCATATCATATCTTGCCATGAAGTCCTCCTCTGTCTGCTCACCAAATGCATCTTTCATCACCTTGTCAGCGAAGTCCACACCCTCTTTAAATGCAAAAAGCCATTCCCTTTTTTTCTGTTCTGTTCCTTGAAACTTCTTGACTGAATCAACAATGCTCCACGTCTCCTCGAGGTCGGCTGTTGACGTATGTAATTTCTAAATCACTTGAAGGCTTACATCATCAGAACTGTGTCTTTTTTCAACTAAACAGACCAGAAGAGCTTCTATTGAATTAACTTATCGACATTATATTTATAAGCTGGAGGTTCCTATCTTGATAAAGGCGGGGCATAAATCTACTACTCGTCGAAACAATCAACAACGAGACAAGCTCAAGTTGTTATTTCAGTTTGGAATAGATAACGAGAAACGTAGCCAATCAGATTGCAGCTGGTAGATTTATTGTAAAGTGCAGTAGATCTCCTTCAGTGGATCTTAGTTTGTCGAAGTCTTCCTCCTTAAGCGTTTTGAAAAAGGAACTGAGATCTACCCAATTGAATATGGTGGGAAGGTAAGGATAACGCATTGTTCAAGGAGAACAAACATTACACTTCAGTGTCACAATGGTAAAGAAAGGAGCGCAAACGTGGTGGCTGGAACCTGTATTTTAGGTCCCAATAATCTACTCAACTATTATGAAATAGTTGAGCCTCACCTTCGTCTGGATCCCGAATGACGATTTTTCCAAAATGACACCACAGGTCAGCTTTGTGATAATTTCCCGACAAAATTTCCCTTTTCAATTTCCTCAGGGATGTTAAAACTCTTTGTTTGATAGAAGCGTCATAATCTGCTACTGCTTGATCATGATAAGAGCTTGAAGCTCCCTGAAAATACAATCCATTAGTTGGGGAGGCATTTTTTTCCGTTTGGTTATCAGTATATTCTGTTAGTTGCTTTGCTCTGGGAATATATCTAAAAACTCGACGCTCATTACCTACTTAACTCTTTCACTCCCAAGATCTCATTAGTTATTCTCCTGTCTGCAGTACAATTCTTGACGTTGGTTAAGAGAATTTCATATTGAATCAACTAATGATTCTATAATTGAAATTCCTCTTTATTCTCATCCCTTGTCAACTGGATATTTTATTGATATTGTAGGGAGAAATTCCGTCTTGGTCACTAATGAGAGTAAAAGGGTTAACCAGTCTTTTGGCTTAGTCATTACCTTTTGGTGCATCTATCATTGAGGGTTGATCGGTCATTTTCCGTAAATTTTCATACAATATACCTGAAGACAGAATGATTTGAAGGGTGCCTGGCCATAGTCAACGACAATCTACTACCCAGACCTCTCTCTGTTAATAAAAAAATGGGCATAAAGGAGAAAGGGAAGGAAAAAAGGAGAGACATAACCGCCTCCTTCCCTCACGCTTCGCAGTGCTCGTAATCAGATGCTCGCTGCTGGAGCTTATCATTGTAGAGTGTTCACTCGTAAACATCTTCTACCATTACGCCACTCCTCGAGGGTCTCAATAGAGGGGGTCACGCTGGCGATTGACGGTTTAAAATAAGCCCTTTGACGGTTGACGGTTAAATTTTAGGTCATTTAATGGTTGACATTTAATTTCTTGGAATGTCCTTTATAAAACGAAATAAATGCACGAATTTGGCTGTAATTTTCAATAAGGATGCGTTTGTAAAGAACTGCTAATTTATAACGCCTTTTATTAATAAATGACTAACGTTTTAATTACGACACCTAAAGTGTTTTCACACCGTAAGGCAGTTCTGTCGCTAACCAGTTTTACTCGTGACTAGAAGTTAAAGGACCTACATAAATTTATTCTTGTCCTATATCAAAAGTTTAATTAATTTTTTTTTATAAACAACAGAACTTGACCCCAAATTAGGCAACCATTTAGTTCTTAATTAAGGATATTTGCGACTCTTGACGACTAACACTGGCTTGCTTATTTGACGGTTTACGATAAAAATGATGCATTTAATATTTTGGTCATTTGACGGTTGACGGTTAACCCCATTGAGACCCTCCTTTTTGCACAAACCTGCACTTCCATATCGTTTTCTTCACAAGGTTTCAAGCGATATTGACGTGAAGATCCTTCTGATAGTATCAAGCGCTCGTTTTCGTCTACAGGGACAAGCTTTAGTTCACAATCTTCTGAAAGATTTTTCTCGTCTATATAGACACAGACTGTGTTAGCCTTCATTCTTCCGGCAGCCTAAAACAGAACGGAAAAAAGTTCATCTGCCATGAATATCCGTGGAGTAAAAAAAGTCTAAGGATTTACGGTCAATGCAGGAGAATTGTTCAAACAAACGAGAAAGACATGCCTTCTGTTTTAAGTAAGACCCCTCTTGCATTTAGCGGCAGGTTATCCAAAATCTTAGCTCTTTGATATGGACTATGTAAAAAAACACCACCATTAAACCCACCGTTCTGCTTCTTATCATATACTCGGTATGCTCTATGTTCCTCTTAGATCCTCTCACATACGGCCGACGATCAGGTCCTATTGAACTCACTTCAGCTCCAGTCATAGTGCTAACATGTCTCAGATGGTCTCCAGCTGGTCCGCTTACTAGGTTCTTGAACTGACTTGGAATCACAGTTGATTGACCACGGTAGCTTTGATTTCTCGCAAGAGTTTCCTTTGGACGCAATTTCGCCTTGAAATTGAAGGTTCACAAGAAAATACAATGTTTTAAGAGAGTAGGATAAGCAGATTCACAGATATACACAGACAAGCAGACAGGCAGAAAAACGGACAGAAGAAAAAACAAAAAAGCAGAAAGACAGACAGGCAGAACCAGCAGCAATTGACAACCACATGTGACCATGACTGCCTATTTGATCGGCTGCCAGGCAACCTGACTGACCGACTCTGGCTGAGAGCGTGGCTGACTTAGTATCTGACTAAGGGACTGATAGGTATGGCAAGCCGGACAGGACAAAAGTATAGTGAAAAGAAGTTTTACATGACGAGTTACAAATAACATAGTACGAGTTTAAAAAGTTCACTGGACGAGTTACAGTTTTACTGGATGCGATACAGTTTTTGTACTTCCAGAAAAAAGATTGCTGTACCAGGAAAACTTTTTTATGCACGAGAAAAAAATAATAGTGCGCGAAGAATTCTGACGGACGACAAAAACTTTACTGCACGAGAATATTGATTGATTATCGATTAGTTTCGAAACATGGTCCGCGGTATTATTTTTAAAACACAAGTCAGCGGTATTATTTTTTAAAACACAAGATGGCGGATTTAAACGTGACAGTGAGTGGGGAAATGTTTTCCAGCGATAATTTTATAGAACTATTGGCTCAACTTAATCTCTTAATGGGGAAAATTTCCTCTCCGTACGATAATGGAGACTTATTCTTACTGGATAGGTGCAGGAAAGAATTAGATGATATTGTGCGAATGATGCTAGCTATCCCTCGTTCTACTTTCGCCGAAGCTTCTCTTCCTCCAATTGGCCTTGTTAGTGATTTGATCGATTGCCTCGTGACATTGTTATCTAAAATCAATGGGGTAATTAGCGCAGTTGATAGATGGAGCGCTGGAAAAACTTTCTCAGTCAACAAAGATACAGGTGGTAGACCTTCCTTTCAAATATCGATAGATATTATAGAGCAGCTTCGTGAGACTGGCATGGGCTGGAGTAGCATAGCAAACTTTTTGGGTGTTTCTTCTTCAGACTCTCTATCGAAGGAGGGTAGAGCTGGGTTTAACAGATGGCTATACAGAGATAACAGATGAAGATCTTTTCAAAGATTGAGCAAGTTCTAAGTTTAACACCATATAGGGGTGAATGTTAAAGGAAGTCTTCAAGGGAAAGGAATAAAGGTTCAAAGGGCAAGAGTTAGAAAGTGCTTAAAACGATTAGATGGCCTTGAAAGGGAGGTTCGAAGGAGGTACTCATTGGTTAGGCGAACGTATAATTTTCCTGGATCAAATTATTTGTGGCATGTAGATTCTAATCACAAATTGATTTCCTGGAGATTTGTCCTACATGGCTGTATTGATGATTTTAGTAGAGCTGTTACATACCTTTCCTGTTGTAACTATAACAAGGCAAGCACCGCATTAGGCCTTTTTGAGAAAGGTGTTAATGAATATGGGCTTCCCCTGTGTGTCCGTGGAGATGATGGAATGGAAAACATTGACGCGGCCAGGTATATAATAAATAATCGAGGATCAGACAGGGGGAGTTTCATTGCTGGACGCAGTGTTCACAATCAGAGAATAGAACGTTTGTGGCCAGAGGTCAACTAAGTTTGTTCTTTATTTTACAAAGATCTTTTTGAGTTTATGGAAAATAATGAAATACTTGATTCTCTAAATGAAGTACATTTATACGCATTACATTATGTATATCTTCCAAGAATTAATGCATCACTAAATGAATTTCACAGCCAGAAGAGTTATCTTGGGATGAGAACAACTGGTCATCACTCACCACTAGCCTTATGGAATATGTCACTGTTACAAACATCTGATGCTGCGGAAGTTCTTGACATAGAATCCTATGGCATAGACCAAGATGGTCCAATTCCAGATATAATCACTGACAACAATGTTGTTGTTCCAGAGCTAGAACTAGAGCTAACTGAGAGTGAAAATCAACAGTTGAAGGAAAATGTTGATCCATTATCTGATGATGGAAACTCTGGGATAAATCACTTTTTGTCTGTCCTGCAAATTCTGGAAACTTTCCAATGAGATTTCATAATGGTGTTATAGATGT